GGGCTCGCCTGTTCAGAATTATACAGGGTTAGAAACGTACCACCAGGGGACAAAGGGTGAAATTCAGCAGTGATACTCACTAGACACCATGTTGGAAATGAGCTATACAACTGGGGGTGGGAGACAGAGAGGGGAATGGGGGGAGGAGGGAGGGGAAAAAAACTGGGAGAAAATGAAGGGTAACACTGTTCAAAAAGAAATGTACTTATGCTAGGTGCCAGTGGCTCACTAATCCTAGCTACTCAGGAGACTGAGATCTGAGGATCACAGTTCAAATTCAGCCCAAGAAGGAAAGTCCACGAGGCTCTTATCACCAACTAACCACCAGAAAACTGCATATAGAGCTGTGGTAAAGGGCTAGCCTTGAGCAAAAGAGGTTAGGGACAGCACTCAGACGGGAAGTTCAAGCCCTATGACTGACAAAAAAGAAAAAGAAGGGAAAAAAAAGTATATCACCAGAAATTGTGCTATACAAACTCTTGCTTATGAAGTAATTTTGGTCAAAGGAAGAGAGCCTTGTTGGAGGCTCTAGACTAAATCAGGGCATAGCTTGTAGGGTTGAAGAACACCAGGCTTTTGAAAGTATCAGGCCCAAGATATCATTCACATATGTGAGTAATAATTTTGTAAGGACTTTAGATGAGATTTTAAATATCCAAATGGCTTTTGGTAGAAAAAAAAATGTTACCCACTTCTGGATGGAATCGTTTTCAAATAATGTAGTAAATGAAGTAATGCATTAAAACCTTCCTTCAGGGCACTGGGTTAGAAACTCATCCTTTTAAATCATTACCAAGTGCAAGGGTGTCAACCATTGAAAATAAACAAGTGGCACCCCACACAAACAAAGACCAATCATGGCAACCAAACCTCCATGTGATGCTTTTGAGGTTTTCTGGTGATGTTTGGTGTAAATGCGGAAGACTTTTCGCCCCTTCTGAGTGTTGGCCTGATGGACAGAGGTATGCAGGTTAAGATGGATTCTGTCTTTCCAATTCTATGTATAAACACTGCTACGACAATGCTGTGAATTGCCTTCTCCACTTTGACCCTGAGCTGGCCTCCCAGTTCTTTTGACCTTGAGCTGGCCTCCCAGTTCTTTTGAACATTTTATTAGCTGAGGGTAAAATGGTACAGGTAAAATGAATTATTTTCATTCCAGTTTAGAGTAACAAGCAAGATTATACTTTGTATAAGCAATAAAGGAAACCACTAGACTACCATTTTATTCACTCAGTAATTGTGTGTGTGTGTGTGTGTGTGTGTGTGTGTGCCAGTACTGGAGCTTAAACTCAGGGTATGCTGTTGTCTCTTAGATTTTTTGCTCAACTGTGGTGCTCTATCACTTGAGTGACAGTCCTACATCTACCATTTTGGTGGATAATTGGAGCAGAGTCTCACAAGCTTTTCTGCTGGAGCTGACTCTGAACCCTGTTCCTAGATCTCAGCCTCTTAAGTAGCTAGGACTACAGGCTTGGGTTACTGGCACTGGGCTCATTAATGGTTTTTTTTTTTTTTATTGTCAGTTGTGGGACTTGAACTCCTGGCTGGGTGCTGTCCCTCAGCTCTTCAGTTCAAGGTTAGCACTCTACCACTTGAGCCACAGAGCCACTTCTGGTTTTCTCAGGGTTAATTACAGATAAGAGTCTGAAGGGGACTTTCCTGCCCGGACTGGCTTTGAACTGTGATCCTCAGATCTCAGCCTCCTGAATAGCTAGGATTACAGCGGTAAGCCACCAGTGCCCAGTTTTTTTTTTCTTTTTTTCTTTTTTTTTAAGGTAAGTTTGATACAGTTACTTTGGGACAGCAGTGAGTCAGAGGTTGGCATCAAAACCAAAATAGAAGCCATAGTCTTCCCTGGGGATTCCACTTAGGGCTCAAAATCCCAGATCACACAACTTCCTAATTGGAAAGAAAGGTTCTTAAACAAGAACAGGGGTTGGTGGGAGCCTGCCAGTGACTAATAGGTCTGTCTAAGGGCTGTCTGATGAAAGAGAAGTTAGACTTCGATGTTGCAGGGAATTTTTTTAAAGCAGTGTAACTCTGAGGTTTATTTCTCTTCCAGACAACCCATTCCAGTTCATGCAGATGTGATTAATTAACTTTGCGATGATATTCAAAAGTCTTCTTCCCAAATGCCTTTGTTTTCTACTTATAAACAAGGCTCCTGTTTGAAGTGATTGCGTTTTCCACTTTCAGCCTGCAGACCAATTAGACACCAATTTTATATTTTGTCCAACAGCCCTTACCTTGCATTCATTTAAAGATGGCCCAAACATTTTAATTTAAAAGAAAATGAGCTAGGGGGCAGGGGTACTTGTACAGTATGCCGGTGGACACTGAGGCAATTTAAATCCCATTTGTTGACGTTCACACCTTGAAAGGCTAATTCTAGAGCCGAGGGGGAAAGGGATTTTTGTTTGCATTCATCTCTTTCAAGAATCAGGCCGTCGCTTTCCAAGCGAGAGGTGCTGGGCTTAAAAGCAAACCGAGTCCCAAGTTGCTGGCCCCTCCAGGGACCAGCGCGCAGGCGCGTGCCCGCACACGTGGGCGCACACACGCACACGCGCCCGCCCCCACCCCTTGCGTGTGATTCGCCTGAAGGATTTATGAGCTTTGCCACCGCAGATTACAGTCAGGTGCAGAAAACAACCCTTTGTTCCGTGGGCATGCCGCCCCCTCCCTTCCCCGGATTTAACTGCTATTTACGGGCCACGTGAACGCTGGGCTCAGGTCCCCCCCCCCCCCGCCCCCTGCCCACTGGGGAAACAAAGGCTGGCCCAGGCTGGCCAGTGCCGCCCGGGGACGTCTCTCCAGCTCCGGCGGCTCGTGTGAAATTGGCCCAGATGGGCGTCTGCTGCAGGCTCTTTCCAGAGATGTCCAGTCAGAGTCTTTGTAAAGAAGCCCGTCCTGCCGTCAGTACCTGCTAGGGGTCGGATTTCTGAGCCTAGGCAGGGCGAGCCGGAGAACTAATCAGCCCGGGACAGTTGGGGGGAGTGGGGGTGGGAAGCAGAATGAGAAATGGGCCCGGGCCCCCTGAGCCTGCCCCGCCACGGGTGGGGGGGCGCGGAGCGTCTCTGTGGTCCGTCCTCCGCGGGCCCCAGGTTGTCACCAAACACCTTCCGTTAGTCTGCACTTCGGGGCGACCTTCCAGGGAGGGGACTACAAGGTGGACAATGTCAGAGGGAGACCAAAAGTCAGTCCCCTTAAGATCATCCTTAAGGAAAACAAAATGAGACCAAAGAATCCGTGATAAGACCATGGGGAAAGATGTAAAGGCAGCATCTCTGCAGCGCAATCCGATTTTGGAACGACCCGCGCCTCTCTCAGCCTACTTGACATGGGCGGGGGGGGGGGGGGGGAGGAAAGGATTCGGGGTGCATTTGGGGGAGAAGCACACCGCGGAAGACCTCGGAAGTGGAGCCCCCTCGATTGTGGAGGGTCGGCCCCGCGGGTGGGGTGGGGTGGAGGATGGAGATGGGAGCTCTGGGGAGCCACTCTGCCCCGAACAAAGGCGGAGGGCCAGGAGAACCGGGAGCCCCCGGTTGGGGCTGGGGGGGGGACCCGGAGGATCCCGCAGCCCTCGTGGCCTGGATCGGACTTCAGGAGCGGCCGGAGACGCAGCGTCCGTCCTCGTCGCCACCGAAGCCGCCCGCGGGCGAGCCCTCTAACTCCCTCGCTCGGAGACTCATTCTCACTAACGAGACTTGGCAAGATGTCGGGCGAATCCGTTTTGGCTTCTGTAAGGTCCCCGCCGCGTGTGCGCACATCACTCCTTCCCCCGGGCCAAAAGCGGCCTCGGGGAAATCAAATGCATTAGGGAAACCGGGGTGGGGATGCTTCGTGACCTGGAAAGAGGGTTTGCAGACACTGGAAGGGGCCCCTGAGCTGAGGACATCCTTTCCAAACGTCATTCTGTGCGCGTGTGGCTTGTGAGGTCTGAGCAGCGCACCGGCGCCAAATGTGGGACCCCCATTCTATCATTTCCTGAGAAAGACAATTCACACGTGTGCAGGAGGGTGAGTGAGGGTTTTCCTCAAAGCTGGAGACTGTCGGGGTTTTCTCCCCCGCCAGGGTTAAACAAACATCTTTTAGGAAGCTGGGACTGGAGAGCCGCCCAGCAGTCCTCCGTAGTGGGGGCAGGGGAGGGGGCATTCCGGCCATTAATGCTTCCCTCCGGGCCGTAAAGCCACAAACCCCACACCTCTCTCCAATTACGCGGCTTCGGGCGGGAGCGCTTTCTGTTTCATCTTCTAAATTGGGGTTTGCGCACGTTCCTCGGGAAGCTATAAAGCTGATTTCATGGCTCAGCCTGAAAACCCATCACGCTAATGCTTACGCTAACGTCTGATGAGTTGCACTAAAAACAAAGACGAGATCGGCCGGGCAGAACGGGCACGGCCGGTTTGGGGAGAGGTGGCTCCCGGCTCTTCCTTTACGGTGGGCGGCGGGACACCGGGTCCCTCTGTCACTGGGGTGCTGGGGAGACCCATGGGACTACTTGGCGGGGTGGAACCTCCAACCCGAGCCCAGGCCTGTTAGGCTGACTTCTCGGCTAGCCTCTCCGTGCCAACCCCCCGAGTGGCCGGGTGGAGTGGCCGCAGAGCGGCTTGGGTCCGGCAGGAAGCTCGGTGGCTGCCCAGGGCGGCCGTGGCTAGGTAAGAGGCGCCGCCTCGCCGCGCTCCATTCACAAAGGTCCGGGAGCCGCGGCTCGCCGGCGGGTCGGAGGCTGCCTCCCTCTTCCTCTGGGTCTCAGTTTTATGAATGAGTTTGGCGGCGAGCTCCCAGAGCCCTGTTTACTCCTCTTTGTGACGTCGAGTTCCCGTGACTGGGCCGGCGCTCCATTCACGCGCCCCGGAGGGGGCGGAGCTAGCGTGGGGGGCGTGGCGGGCGCGAGGCCGAGAATGGAAAGGGGCGGAGTCTCGGGAGGTAGTAATGGACCTCCCCCTCCTCGGGGGAGAGCTGAGGAGCATTAATAAATCTTTAAGCCGAGGAGGAAACTCTAGCTGGGGCTGTGCGCGGAGCTCCGGCGGGGCGTGGGGAACGGCGGCGCCCGCGCGGGTGGTAGCCGAAACAGCCCTACCGGCAAAAACACACTAGAGGCCACAAACGAGGGGAGCCCGGGCTCCTCTCCGGTACACACACTTCCTCCCACCGCCACCTCCCCTCCGCCCCGCGCGCCACCCGGCCGCTCGGACTGCTATGTGACCGAGAGGCTGTGGAGGAAGGGGTCTGGGAAGAGGTGAGCTAAGTTTGAGCCCACTTTTGCAGGCGCCCCTCTGAGCCCTCGCCTGCCCTAGGTCTGGTAACTAGCTGGCTCCCGGGTGCCCTTCGCCTCCGAGCGCTTCCAGCTGCCGCGGTTCCCGGTGGCCATGGTGACGATGGAGGAACTTCGGGAGATGGACTGCAGCGTGCTCAAAAGGCTGATGAACCGGGACGAGAACGGCGGCGGCGCGGGCGGCAGCGGTAACCACGGCGCCCTGGGGCTGCTGAGCGGCGGCAAGTGCCTGCTGCTGGATTGCAGACCGTTCCTGGCGCACAGCGCGGGCTACATCCGAGGCTCGGTCAACGTGCGCTGCAACACCATCGTGCGGCGGCGGGCCAAGGGCTCGGTGAGCCTGGAGCAGATCCTGCCCGCCGAGGAAGAGGTGCGCGCCCGCCTGCGCTCCGGCCTCTACTCGGCCGTGATCGTCTACGACGAACGCAGCCCGCGCGCCGAGAGCCTCCGCGAGGACAGCACCGTGTCGCTGGTGGTGCAGGCGCTGCGCCGGAACGCGGAGCGCACCGACATCTGTCTGCTCAAAGGTAAACGCGGGTGATTGGAAGGGAAGTGTGGTGGCCTGTGCCTCTCGTGAAGCCGGGGGAGGGGTGGGGGGAGAATCGGAGAGATCCCTGGCTCCGGGGATCCCACCGAGCTTCTTTGTGCGCGTTGGAGTGTTAGGGGTCGCCAGGTTGTTTTCGAGTGTTGTGCGAGTGCGATATCCAGGTCCTCGGCAAGGTGGCAGGCGCGTTTCTCAGGTCACCTGTGCAGCCCCGCACGCGTCCTCTTTTACGGGTTCTCGCTAACGGTTCCGGAGAAGCCACTGTGCGCGGCCCGGCTTGGAGTCCCAGGAGGCGACCTCAAGTACCGCCGTGCGGGCGGGGACCAGATAGAGGCCTGTGGGTTCGGCTTGCGGGGGGGCCTATAGTGACCCTGATAACGGAGAGGAGCGGTGGAAGGTTGAGGTGCAGAAGTAGGATCGCTCTTGCTGGTGCCGACTGGAAGCCCAGTCTTTTGGTAAAAGCCGAAACGAGATCGGGGAGCGATCCGCCACCTCTCTCCTCCCCGCCGCCTAACAAGGAGATTTCTGGAAAGTGACCGACTCCCCTGGTCTCAGGCTAGACCTGGGAAACCACGAGCAGAGGCTGGAGGGAAACGGGGAGTTAGTTATCTGGGAGGACGCCAGGCCCAACCCGCGTGGGCCATCCGCTTGCCCATGTTGGCGGCGGGGAGGGAACGACCTTTTGTTCAGACACCCTTCTCCACCGATGGCGGCGCGTGCCTGCTTCCAGTGAACCCCGCCGAGAACTCCGTGACGGTCGGGAGGCGGCGGGTCCGAGGAGGAAGACAGCCGCCCCCCGAAGGACCGCGTGCTAACCCAATCCCGCGGAGGCAGCGCTCGCGAGCCGCCCCGCGGCGGGAGTCGGCGGGTGTGCGGGCCGGCGCGTGCGTCGCGGCGCCCCCTGCCGCGCCCCTTCCTCCCGCCGCCGCATTCCGCGCGTTCTTTCGCCGGGGTCGGGGCTGCGCTTCCGCCGGCGTGGCGGACCCCCCCCCCCCGCCCCCCGCCTTCAAAGAGCCGCTCCTTTCCCTGCAGGCGCCGGGCGCCCTCTCCTTCGCTTTCCTTTCTCAATCAGATCACCGGAAAGGAAGGGAGACGGGGGGGGGGGGGGATCGGGGCGGGGGGAGGTAAAGCACCACGACAGTGCTGGGGAGCTGGGGGGGGGGGGTACGGGGTTTGCCTCTGCGGAACAGCGAGGGGCTTTGTTGTCAGCAGTTGTTTCCTGACCATTTGACCCGTCAGCTGCTGAGGAAGTGCTGCTGTTGACCTGTGGTTGAACTGTTAAGGCGATTTTGCTGATTTTTTTCCCCCCTTTTGTGTTTTTGTTTTTTCTCTTCTTCGGTGGTGGTGGGGGGGGGAGGGGGGCGATGGCACCTCCGGGGGAGCCCAGTCCCGCCCAGCTTCCCAAAGCGCTTTCGGAGCAAGTGCCTGGAAGGGGCTGGTCCGGGGCCCCATGCCCGGTTCGTCCAGCGGCGTGGACGCGGAGCAAAGCGCGCGCTCGCGCGGGGCCTCTGGAGCCCGGCCCCGGCCCAGGGTGGGCGCCTGCGCTATTGTTAGGGCCTGCGGCCTTGGCGGCCTGGGGCTGGCGTGGGGTGGGGACCGGGAGACAGATTCCTTCAGGAGGATTCGGGGTGTAGGTGCCAGCCTCGAGTCCCGCCCGGTTTGGTGTCCAAGCGCACGCCTTCCTCCATGGACCCCGCCATCCAGGTCCTCTGGGCTGGGGCCGACTCCAGCTCCACGTGGAGTCGGGGGTTTGTTGTGTTTTCTTTTTCTTCCTGGAAGACATCTCTGCAGCGGTAGCTCCGTGGCCTTGGCCCTCCGGTTTCCTTCCGGGGACGCAGATACTGTGGCCCTTTGCCCGGGCCGGGAGGGAGGTACACTTGTAAGATTTAACCTCCGGGCCCTGGGCGCCGCCTTGTTACTCTTCTGTTCCCCCAAAACACGGTGCTGAGCCGGCGGGCTCAGGGTAAAATGACAGTGCCCCGATGGGTGGCGAGGTGCGTGGCCTTAAGAAGCATTTCTTCTCTGGACTCCTGTGTATCCTTCTGTCTGTCCAATTTTGGCAGGGAAGGCCATCCCCTGGCCCTCAAAAGGACCCCATTCTCTGAGGAGGAGCGTGCCTGGGTCATTGGCCCGGGAGGCTTCGCATCTGTCTGCGAGAATAGTCCCTTCTCCCCCAGCTTCACCCAGCCCCAAGTTAGTTCAGCCGCCCATGGGAGCCCGCGCCTAGAAATCCAAGTGGGGGAATTATCCCGCTTGCTGAGTAGCAGTGGGCGAGCGTCTGCCTATTCTATTCAAGGCTTAGCTGCGTGGATCCTGTACTGAGCAGAGGCCGGCCTCAAGGCCCAGTTCCTTTGCTTCCCTTTGCTCACGAATGCAAGGCATCCCTAGAGGGGCAAAAGAAGCAGTGCCTGCTGCCACACCCTGCGGAAGGTGCCATCAGGGGGAGGGACACAGGGGCTTCTGGGCTACAGAGACACGGGGCTTACTGTAAGTGGGCACTCCAGCGGTTCGGAGATGGCTTTGTGCGCGGGTGGGGATCCTGGCATAGGGATCTAAAGGAGGGAATGCTGAGAAGGAAAGAAAGAAAAAGGCCCTTAGAGTCTCTCTACTGAAGTGCTGGAATTGATTAAGGGTTGAGTAACTCCGTTCCCTCTGGAGTTATAGTTTCCAGCTTGCAAACAGGACCCTCCTGTGTGTCACCTGATGTGTGCAGGTGGCTGGGCAGTGGAGGGCAGAACGTTGGGCAAATAGAGTGGGGGTAAGGGGGATAAAAGATGGTAATATTTTCAGAAGTGATGTCATTCTTTCCAGCCAAGGCTTATCTAATTTTCTAATTAATTGCACTTAAAAATGTAGGTTTTCTATTTCTGTCTCTTCAAAGGGAGACTGGTTACTCATTTGCAGGTGGTTAGTAACTGTTTCCACAAGTGAGAATTCATAAAGATAGGAATAAACTTCGCTGAACATCAATAAAACTTATACCCTGTACATTTCATAAGACCCAAGTCTTACAAAAGGCACTAAAATCATGCAGCGTTTTCATTTCGTTAGATTTCAAGCTTGGGTGATTTTTCCTGGCGCTTGAACTCAGGGCCTGGGCACTGTCCCTGAGCCTCTCTGTGCTCAAGGCTAGCCGGCTCTACCACTTGAGCCACAGCACCACTTCTGGCCTTTTCTGTTTATGTAGCACTGAGGAATCGAACCCAGGGCTTCATGCATGCTAGGCAAGCATTGTACCACAAAGCCACATTCCCTGCCCAAAATTGGATGAATTTTAGAAAAGTCTTTGACTTAAAATCTTGCAAGACAGTTTTAGAGACAATTTTGACATTTAAGTTCTTTAATTTTATACAGTATACTTCTTTCAAATTCCTTTCTCCCCTTCATTTTCCAATTAGAGTTTCTCAACTTATGTTATCGTAAAAGATAATTTTCTTGCATTAATAAAAGTCATTTCTTGTATCCCCCAATAGCAAATTAATTTCTTACACAAAAAGATTTCAGCTGGTCATGGTAGTATACAACTATATCCCAACATTTAGGCGGATGGAACATTTGAGGCCACGTGGGACTTCATAACAGTGGCTCTCCTCTGTAATCCTAGCCACTCAGGATGTTGAGATCACAGGATCATGGTTTAAAGGCAGTCCAGGCAGAAAAGTCTGTGAGACTCTTATCTCCAGTTAACCACAAAACGAGCTGGAAGTAGATAGAGCTGTGTCTCCAGTGGTAAAGCGCTAACGGTGAGCAAAACAAACAGAACCTCAAGGACAATGCCCAGGCTCTGAGTTAAAGCCCCAGGACTGGCACACACACATACATACATAAAGGATTTTAGGTGTAGGTGTGTGTGTGTGTGTGTGTGTGTGTGTATGTGTGTGTACACACACAAACTCAAATTAAAAAAAAGTTGTTTCCTTCCTGTGGAGAATTTGACTCCTGACCTTTGTGAGTTTATTCCAGTCATGATTGCAAAACTATCCTAGCTATTTTGAGCAATTTGAATGATGATCTAGATAGATCAGTTACTTTCTCCACTCTCTAGTCCCTGGGCCTATCGATATAAGGGATTTGGCCAGATGCTGGTAGTGGCTCACACTTGTAATCCTAGCTGCTGAAGAAGCTGAGATCTGAGGATCTATTTCATTTTGAAGCCAGCCCAAGCAGGAGAACTCTCATCTCTAATCTCCAAATAGCCTTAAGCAAAAACTCTTGAGACAGCACTCAGGCCTTGAGTTTAAGCCCTGTGACACACACTCACTCTATGTGTCTGTCTGTCTCTTTCTCTCTCTCTCTCTCTCTCTCTCTCTCACACACACACACACACAGCTGGTTTCTGTGGCATGATGGTACATGCCTATAATTCCAGCATTCAGGAGACCAAGAGTTTGAGGCCAGCTTGGGCCATATAGCAAGACCATGTCTCTCAATAGTCAAAAGTTGGCCACCAGTGGCTTATGTCTGTAATCCTAGTTCCTCAGGAGGCTGAGATATGAGGATGATTATTCAAAGCCAGCAAGGGCAGCAAAATCTGTGACTCTTATCTCCAATGAAGCACCAAAAAAGCCAGAAATAGAGCTGTGGCTCAAGTGGTAGAGTGCTGTCCTTGAACCCAAAATCTCAGGGACAGTGCCCACGCCCTGGACTGACACAAAAAAACAAAAACAGAGTATATTGGATTTGGTGAGTAAAGTATAGGGCATAGGGAAAGAGAAGGGAGCTGTGGCTGTCTTTTTCTTTTCTGGATTGTCATCTCCAGCTGTTGGTGTCCCCTCCCCCACAGCATAGCTCTAGGGGTTTGCTAGGTTTTCCTGCCACTTGTACCCTCTGAATGAAATGACGGGCTTTTCAGTTTGCAAATATAACACAAAGCCTTCCTGGCAGCCGGTGATCAGGAGTGTTTAGAATTACAAAAAATGGTAAGACTTACAAATCATTTCTGACCTCCATTGCCATTCATTACATAATTCTAATGAATGAAGC